TCGTTATCCAGGAATATTTAGAGCTAGGCCACATGACAGCGGTTACACCCAGCCATGACTCCGGCCATTACTACCTTCCACATCACGCCGTGTTTAAACCCGACAACACCACAACCAAACTGCGCGTGGTCTTCAACGCCTCCAGCCCATCTTCCAACGGGAAAAGCCTCAACGACACATTGCATTCGGGGCCAGTCCTTCAGTCTGACTTGACCATGCAAATCCTGAGGTGGCGAGTCTTCCGCTATGTCTTCAATGCCGACATCAGCAAGATGTACCGCCAGATCCAAGTTTCTCCCAACACACGCCCTATCAGCGAATACTCTTTCGCGACCGTAATGGGGACGTGTATGACTACGAGCTTGCCACGGTCACCTTCCGAGTCAATTGCGCACCGTACCTCGCCCTTCGCGTCATTAAGCAACTCGCACAAGAGGTGCGCCCACAGTTGCCAATGGCAAGCGACATCCTGGAGTTACATGTACGTGGACGACGTGCTGGCTGGTGCTCACACTCAGTCGCAGGCAATCTCCTCCATTTCAGAATTACGCAAAGCACTCGACTCCGCGGGGTTTCCACTCCGAAAGTGGACAGCGAACCACAAGGGCGTACTGCGCGATATTCCGGTTGACCACCTACTTCGAGCTGACTTCCTAGAGCTTGAAGAAAGTAGCACCGCTAAGACATTGGGGATCCGATGACAAGCCAGTGCCGATGAATTCTTCTCTGCTCCTCCCGAAGTACTTCATGGGGAGTCCTGTACGAAGCGCAATGTGCTATCGCAGATTGCGCAGCTGTTCAATCCAGCGGGATGGCTTGCCCCCTTTGTCATCCAAGCAAAAATGTCCTCCCTGGCGATCTATCTCAAAATTGGGAGACGTTCCTGAATAGTTTTCCGGCCATCCAGGATGTCCGCATTCCGCGATGGTTGCACGTGTGTCCAATGGCCAAGGTGCAGATACATGGCTTCTGCGACGCGTCTCAACATGCCTATGGGGCAGCGATTTACATCCGAATTGAGCGACCGCAGGGCATTGTCTGTACCCTTCTCACAGCCAAACCCCGCGTGGCCCCCCTGAAAACGGTTTCCTTGCCTCGACTCGAACTGTGCGGAGCCGTCCTTCTGACAGAGCTTTCCGAGGCCATCCTTCCTCAACTGCCACTGGACACCAGCCAAGTATCCTTCTGGACCGATTCCACGATTGTGTTGGCCTGGCTGAACAGACCTGCATGACTCACTTTCGTTGGCAATCGAGTAGCCAAAATCACTCGATGTTGTCCCAGCAAGCGATGGAGCCACGTCCGATCCGAGGACAATCCGGCCGGCCTGGCCGGACCCACTGACCTGGACGGAAGTGATATGGGGTGGCATGGCCCTGCTTGGTTGCGTGGTCCAAAATCGGAGTGGCCATGTCCGCGGGACTCAGTCCTTGAGACTGACCTGGAGAAGCGAGCCGTCAAGGTGCACCATGCCACCAGCAGCGCCTCCGATATCCTCAGCCGTTTCTCCGAACTCGGGTGCGCTCTGCGCGTGATCGCCTACGTTCGGCGGTTCACCCAGCGAGTTAAAGGGCAGACGACCCATGTCTCCGAGGAGCTGAACGGAAAAGAGGTCGCTGCCGCTCTCCAAGCGGTCACACTGACAACCCAACGCTTCCATTATGCTGGGGAGCATCGGTTCCTGCTAAACAAGCAGCCACTCCCTACTACGAGTTCTCTTCAGAATCTTAATCCGTTCCTTGACCAGAACGGAGTCATGCGGGCATGTGGCCGAGTCCAAGCCTCGGCGTCCATGTCCTACAACGAACGGCATCCAATCCTGTTGCCACCCGCATGTCTCCTGGTTCGATTCACCCATCATACATCGCTACATGGTGGGAACCAGCTGGTCATCCGCCTTATCCGGGCAACATACTGGATCCCTCAACTACGTCACGTAGTGAGGGCAGTGATCCATTCTTGTAAGGTTTGCGTCCTCCATCGTAAGCGACTCCAAACCCAACTAATGGGCGACCTTCCTGCCTCACGAGTCACATTCTCCAGGCCGTTCACATACACCGGAGTCGACTTCGCCGGCCCCTTCGACGTTAAAAGTTTCACAGGCCGCGCATGTCGCATCTCAAAGGGGTATGTGTGCTTAGAGGCCACGTCCGATTTATCCACCGACACCTTCCTAGCCGCCTTCCCTCGTTTCGTCGCGAGACGAGGGTGTCCTCATGAAGTTCAATCCGACAACGGCAGGAATTTTGTCGGCGCGTCCCGCTCTCTGGCTGTGGATCTTCTCGAGGCCAATCGCACTCGGACTTCTGCGGTGTACAGCCAGCAGGGGCTATCGTGGCGGTTTATCCCTCCCGGAGCCCCACATATGGGGGCTTGTGGGAAGCAGGTGTGAAGAGCTTCAAGGCTCTGTTCCAATGGTCGATGTGTACGTCCAAATACACATTAGAGGAGTTCGCGACCTTACTTTTAAAAATTGAGGCATGTCTTAGCTCGCGACAAATCTCTCCTATGTCTGAGGATCCAACGGATCCGTTGGCTTTGAGTCCAGGCCATTTCCTGATTGGTGGTCCGCTATTATCCGTGGCAGAGCCAGAAATACAAGCGAACGCCTCCTCCATCCTAAACCGCTGGCAACATCTCAAGGCTTTCAACCAGCAATTCTGTTAGCGCTGGAAGACAGAGTACCTGCGAGAGTTGCACAAGCGTAACAAATGGCAGCATCCGACAAGAGACCTCGAGATTGGAGACCTCGTGGTGATCAAGGAGGAGAACATCCCCGCTCAGGAATGGCGTCTCGGCCGTGTGCAGAACGCGTATCCTGGAGCCGATGATAAGGTCCGTGTGGTAGACCTGCTCACGGCCCGCGGCCTTATCAAGAGACCGATCACGAAGGTGGTTCTGCTGCCTATGGAATCGGAGGTCCTTTCCACCTACTCTAGCGTAGGCTCCGATTCATAAGCCTCCGTCCTTTTGTTATGCGTAATCCAGCTTAATCATCCGTACCCGTATCTGTATCCGTATGCCAACCCGTGCCAGCTCCTTACTAATGCTTCGTTGACTCCTTTCTTTCATCCTAGTTTTTTCCAGACGGCAGATATGGCCCCTCAAACGTCCTCACGGTCCCGATCCAGCCGCAGGTCGGATCGCCCACGGGCACGAGGTACGACCTCCTTCCAATGTCGAGTGTGTCCAGGAGTACACCCACTGAGAAACTGCCGGAAATTCATCCGTTTGAGCGTCGAGAAGAGACTCCGAGCCGTCCTCCTGCATAAATACTGCTCTAACTGCCTGGCTCACGAGCACTCGGGCAAGGACTGCCTCAGTGGAGACCTCTGTACGGTGTGCTCCCGCAACCACCACACGCTGCTCCACCTGCCCGGGACTCGGCGCCCTGCTGGCTCCTCTTCGGCACCGTCGACTTCACCTCCGTCTTCCCGCGCCGAACCACGCCCTCGTCTTCTGGTCAGCCGCCCTGTCATCGGAAATCCAGCCCCGACAGCAAACTCCTTGCTCCAGCACCGGAGCATCAACGTCCTCCCGACGGCAATGGTGGTCCTCGCAGTGCAGCAAGCCACTAAGGTGTTGAGTGCACTAATTGATCCCTGCACGCCGGTCAGCTGCATCGACGCCGAGGTGGCTAGGGAGCTGCAGTTGCCAACCACCTGCATCGGGGACGAGAAGGTGTGCACCGCCATGATCCGGGACAAGACAGGAGAGTTCAAAGTGGAGGCCGTCTTCAAAATCGAGCCCCGTCTGCGCGTCCGTACGCCGATCCGGCCACTCAGCGACACCGTTCGTGCTCGCTTCGACGACCTGAAGTTGACCAACGAACATTTTCATAAGCCGACGACCATCTCGCTCGTCTTGGGTGCGGACCTCTATCCAAGGGTCATCCAACCCGGGTTCCTCGCCCGTGCAGACGGCCTTCCCGTGGCTCAAAGCACAGTGTTTGGATGGATCGTGTCTGGTGCGTGCACGCAGACGTAAAATCTTTAATCCTGCAAGGGGGGGGAGAATGTTCAGAGTGAGGACGGAGCAGGCGGGGCAACCGCTCTGTGGGCATTCCAGCCACACAACGCTGTTAGCGTTTCAGCTACACAAGCGGTCGCCCTCGCTCTCGCCCTCGTACTTAAGAGCATTTTCCCCCCGGCGACGCGCTCTCGCGTGCATACTCACCACGCTTGCGCTTCCGCCCACGCTCACGCTCTTGCCGCCGACAGCTTGAGTGCCACCGATCTACATTAAATTCGCTTTTTCCACCCCCAGCAAAACGGCCGGTTTTTGCGCGCGATACATATACATTGTTTGGCTATTAAGTGTTTTTAATAGCCGTTGAAACTCGTTTGATTTTAAGAAAAAGGGTCTAGCGTTTCAATGGGGAATGTACAATTTATTTTGTATTGGTAATTAAAGTAGGCGTTAGTATGACCGATATAATAAAGCGATGCGATTGATACGAAGATTATCTCTCCACTGGCTACAAGGGCAAATGGGCCGACTTGCCAGCGCCCTATGCAGCAAGTGTTAAAAGAGAGCGAAAACGAGCGATGAAAGGAGAGCAGATCGGGGCAGATGCTTAGCCGAGCACGAACGTCATATGGAACGCGAGAGACCAGCTTAGATGCTGCAACTGCAACAACAAAGCGAAGAAGGCGAGATAAAATGAAAGAGCGGCCGCTGCCGCGCATAACATAGGCTGATTAACAATGATTGGTACAGTGCAAATAATGAACATAATTAAATCATATTTAGGCTGCTTGACCCAACATACTCCCCCCGTTAGAAGCCTGACTTTCAACAGCATCTTTAAGGGGAAGCAGACACAGCTTGTTAACGGCTCGCTTGGTGATTCCAGTTGCAGTCCTCAGCACAGCGACTCGGGCGACGCAATCTCTTCCAGGTAGTAGTTCGACCACCCTCGCTAGTGGCCACTTCATGGGAGGTAGATTTTCATCCTTGACGAGGACCATGTCTTTGACTGCTAAACTCGGCTTCGTAGTTCACCACTTTGAGCGCTGCTGCAGTGACGAGATGTACTCCTCCTTCCACCGGGACCAAAAGAGCTGTTGAAGGTAAGAAACGCGCTGCCAGGCGTCAAGGCGATCGAAGTTTAGCTTCGTGACGTCAGGCTCAGTGAATGAAGCAGGAGGGCCGCCATTCAAGAAATGTGCTGGAGTTAAGACGTCAAGATCGGCAGGACTCTCTGAAATGGGAACTAAAGGTCTTGAATTAATGACTGCCGTGATGTGGCATAACAGCGTCCGCAGCTCGTCAAATCCAAGAACCGAATTGGCTATCGCTCGATAGAAGTGGTACTTGGCCGTCTTCACTGCGGCTTCCCATAGGCCACCAAAGTGCGGCGAGCGCGGCGGGATGAAGTGCCAATCAATGGACTCAACCAAACAGAAGTCCAGAACCGCCTTCTGATGATCGTCGCTGAGAAACAGGCGTCTTAGCTCCACGAGCTCGTTCCTTGCACCGACAAAATTGGTTCCGTTGTCTGACCAAATTTGCCGTGGCTTTCGTCTGGTGCATATAAAGTGCTTTAGGCCGTGGAGAAAAGAGACTGTCGATAGATCCTTGATCAGCTCCAGATGAACGGCCTTGGTCGCGAAACAAATGAGGACGCAGACGTAGCACTTGATTGGAGCCTTGTTGCGTGCCTCCGGCTTGTAGAAAAACGGGCCACAAAAGTCTACGCCTGTGATCTCAAAGGCGTGAGAACCGTCTAGGCGCTCTTTTGGAAGATCCGCCATGATGTGCTCCAATATTCTAGGTTTCGTTCGAAACATCTCACGCACTTGTTTACGGCCTTGTTAACTGTCTTTCTCCCCCCAATAGGCCAATATTGGGATCGAATTAATCCCAGTAGAGCTCGAGGACCAGCGTGTAGGTTCCGCTCATGAAAGTGAGAGATTATTGCAAGAGGAAGCGGATGGCTGCTGGGCAAGATGGGATGACATCAAAATCCAACGAAGAATTCTTCAGCCGACCATCAACTCTGAGAAGTCCAAAATGATCCATGAAAGGGCACAGTGATGAAAGTGAGCTGGATGAGGCGACCACTCCCCTAGAGCGCAGTGACTTCATGTCTTCCCAGAGCTGCGTACGCTGGACCAGCCGCACCAATAGCTGGGTTCCACGTTCAATGTCAGAGACGGTGAGTCCAGGGCACCGAATCCGGTTGCAAAATTTGTGAATGTAGCCAAAAACGCGTTGCAAAGAAGCGAATGAGTTCGCATACTTGGATTTGGCTACAATGTCCAAGTAGGGTGATTTGGCCAAGAAAACCTTACGACGCAGCTCCAGGGTTGGCTTATCAGGCAACACCGTAGCTGGCCAGTCATCTGAAGAGCCGCAAAGAAAGGGAGGTCCATGAGCCAAAAGGGGTGACTCACTCAACTCGATTGGTAGAGCTCCTCGTGAAAGAATGTCGGCCGGGTTCAAAGCTGTGGGAACATGATGCCATTCCATTTTTTCAGTCAGTTCCTGTATCGTTGCCACTCTATTTGCGACAAATATATTGAATCGGGATGGCCCGTCCCGAATCCAAGAGAGCGCAACGGCCGAATCACACCAACAGTAGCACCTTCCTTTGAAGACACTCATTCCTGCTACCTCAGATATGAGCCTAGCTAGCAATTCCGCTCCACAAAGCTCAAGCTTTGGTATTAGTGTTTTCAATGGAGCAACACGAGATTTTGAGCAGAGTAAGTGACTGCTGGATCGCTGACCCTTCGACACAACATAAATGCAGGCACCATAAGCCTCTATGCTCGCGCCGCAAAATCCATGAATTTCTAACTCAGAGTTCGGAATGAGCACAAGCCGAGGAAATTCATAACGCCGAATCTGGCCAAAACTACTGCATATTTCCTGCCACGAGGTGTTGAGTGCGGATGGCAAGCTTTCATCCCAGGATAACTTCTCTTTACACAACTGCTGGAGAAAGATTTTTGATTTTGTAATGATAGGCCCAGCTAGTTCGAGGGGATCGTAGAACCGAGCTATTGTTGACAAAACGGAACGCCTGCAGGGACGCGAAGATGACTGTAGGGCCGAAAACGAGAATAAAAGCTGATCAGAAACCGGATCCCAGGCAAGTCCTAAAGTTTTGGTGAAATTGCTGCCATCGTCGAACTTTAAAAAGGTTTCCTTGTCCTGTTCCGGAACTCCATCGAGCACAGCAGGCACGTTCGAAAACCATTTCCTCAACCGGAACTGACCTCTCGACAAAATTCCAGTGGTTTGCTCACGAATGTGGATAGCCTCATCCTGAGAGCTGGCTCCAGATATCAAGTCATCGACGTAAAAGTCCCGGCAAAGAATCTCAGCACCAACAGGAAACGCTACCTGCTCATCCATTGCCAGCTGATGCATCGCCCGCACTGATAAATATGAGGCAGGCTTCGTCCCATAAGTAACGGTGTCCAGCTTTAACACACGCAAATCCTCTTACATGGAATTCCTCCACAGAATACACTGCAAGTTACTATCCCTGGGTGAGATCCTTACACACCGGTACATCTTGCAAATATCTCCCGTTATCGCAACTGCATATGACCGAAATCGAGTGAGAATATGGAAAAGCTTGGGTTGGATTACAGGACCGGCCATTAAGACGTCGTTCAGGGAATAGCCGGATGATGTTGCTGCGGATCCATCGAAAACGACCCTCAGCTTGGTTGTCGAGCTATCTTCCTTTGTGACGCAATGATGAGGCAAAAAGTAGCGGCAGCAGCTGATTGACTCGGCAGGAACCAAAGACATGTGACCTAGATCAAGGTACTCTTTTATGAAAGCAGCATACTGAGATTTCACATCACGGCGACGATCTAACCTCCGCTCAAGAGATAAGAATCTACGTTGAGCTTGTTGATAAGATTCCCCCAAGAGATCCAAGTTATATTTAGCTGGCAGCCGAACACAATAATCGCCAGTTTGTAATCGATGGAAATGTTGAACAAAGTGAGCCTCACAATCTAGCTCTTCTTTCGTAGACTTTACAATGGGTTCCATGCAATTCTCTACCTCCCAAAACCGTCGAAGCAGTACCTCAAGTCGCTCTTCTAGGTTACTATTATCAGCAACTGCGGCCGGAGCACGCGACACAATCAAAGAAGATCCCTTTACCGGAGAAGAACCTCCATACACGACCCATCCCAAACGAGTTTTCTGAATTGATGGCAATCCTGGCAGTAATTTGACCTGACCAACACAAAGAAGCTCGTAGAACAGACTGGCGCCAATTAAAAGATCGACACGCTGAGGACTATGAAACTCTGGATTAGCAAGAGGTAGGTTTGCTGGAATGTTCCAGTCGTGAGTGTCTATTCCGTAACTTGGTTGACGATCGGTTATGTTAGAGGCTACAACAGCAGTGATGAGAGTTGAGTAGTCCGTCGAGCGAGAGTTCAGGCTAATGTTGACCGAAAGTCCATCCGTGACGAAGTTTGAATCACATATTCCAGATACTGCAGTCAATGATTTTATTTTTCAACGCTGAAGCTGATTTGCAAAACGAGAGGTTATTAGGTGCAGCTGAGAGCCGGAATCAAGCAAAGCTCGGCAAGGAACGAGGACTCCTGAACGATTTTTAACCAAGAATGTTGCCGTGGCTAACAGAACAACATCATTACTGAAACCTTGGGCAATAAGAGCAGCAGAGGTAGACGACGAAGTAGAGGGTGCAGTGGCATTATGAGACAACGTAGGTGCTGAAGTAGATGTTTGAGTGCTGAGATTAGACGGCACAGACGGAGATAGAGTTTCAAGTGCCACTGATTGAGTTTGGACTGCAGTAGCTTCAGGATTACCGAAGTGCAAAAGAGTGTGGTGCCTGCGCCCGCAGATACGACAGCTGCTCGAGCTGCATGTAGTCACCCGATGACCTGCTTTGAGACAGTTTAAGCATAGAGAGAGTCTCCTGACTTCCTTAAGGCGATTCGCAGGGGACAGGGCCTTGAACTTCGAGCAATAATGGATTTCGTGAGCAGTTTCACTGCAAAAAGCGCATCCCGATGAGCTGTGACTTGTGGCAACAAGTGCGGATCTAGAAGGGTTAGTTTTTGTACTTTTTCCCACCTGACTGCTCGGCGCATAAGTTGCCATAGCGAAATCCACGGTTTCCAATGTCCTGCATCGCTGTTCCAAGAACGAGGCCATAGATTCCCACGAAGGAATGAGATTGACAAAAGCTGTAGTCTAAAGTTTCCTCCCACTTTGCTTAACTTACTGTCCGAAATCTCCCGAAGCATAGCCACTGACCCATTCTCCATAGCCTGGAGCCCCAGGATCTCAGTAATGTGTGCCTGAAAGACCAACCGTCGATTATTAAATCTCTTTTCCAATAATTCTAATGCCATGTTATAGTTGCCATCCGAGAGTTCTAACGATCGAATTGCAAGATCGCAGATGCTGGAACTTTTCAATATTGGATAGGTCCGGGTGAAGAACGACAATAACGAACAACCGGCAATATATGGCAATGTTTGAATGCTTAATTGTAGTTTGTGATTGCACGAATATATTAACTAATGCACAATCACGTCGGGGTCACCAAATGTTTGGCTATTAAGAGTTTTTAATAGCCGTTGAAACTCGTTTGATTTTAAGAAAAAGGTCTAGCGTTTCAATGGGGAATGTACAATTTATTTTGTATTGGTAATTAAAGTAGGCGTTAGTATGACCGATATAATAAAGCGATGCGATTGATACGAAGATTATCTCTCCACTGGCTACAAGGGCAAATGGGCCGACTTGCCAGCGCCCTATGCAGCAAGTGTTAAAAGAGAGCGAAAACGAGCGATGAAAGGAGAGCAGATCGGGGCAGATGCTTAGCCGAGCACGAACGTCATATGGAACGCGAGAGACCAGCTTAGATGCTGCAACTGCAACAACAAAGCGAAGAAGGCGAGATAAAATGAAAGAGCGGCCGCTGCCGTGCATAACATAGGCTGATTAACAATGATTGGTACAGTGCAAATAATGAACATAATTAAATCATATTTAGGCTGATTGACCCGACATGCATATTTAACTACAATTAACCCTACGAATAAAACCCGATACCTGTAAACATTGAAGAAATTGGAACTGCCACTCGCGTTTATCTTTGGGAATTCAACTGTGGGACTTCGAGACGCCTCTTCGCTCAAACAGTTAGTTTTAATGCTTGACCGCGACGTATGTATGATACTTCTTGACTCCTGATGGACTGCCGACTTGCGTGTTTGTTATTTGCCTGACTGCTATGGATGATGGGCTGCCGATCGACTGCCGATTGACTATGGCTGATGGACTGCCTAACGACTCGAAAGCGAACTCAAAGCAAACTCCTAGCGAACTGCTAGCGAACTCCCGATTTGCAAACTGATGGCGAACCGATTTAGTACAGGGAGAACTCCGATATATATAGCGTTTTCCCTTTCTTGATAGGGCCAGTTCTTCTATGTATGGGAAATTTCTCCGAGCCGGGCTTGTTTTCGCTTTAGCCTGTTGATCGGCACTTTTCCATGGTTATTGATTGGCTATTGGTTGTATTTTGCTGCGTGGAGTGATCGCATTTCCTTGACGTTCGATGGCCCGTGTGCTGAGTCCTCGGTTTTCCTGTCTGTCGGCCGAGCGTGTGCTGAGGTGGTAGTTTCTTTTTCTTTTTTTTGTCTCTTGCTGTTCGCATTTTTGTGGATTTTGGTTGCGCGTGTGCTGAGTTTTCATTTTGTTTGGTGTTGACTTCGTCATTTGAGAGCTTTGGTTA